TGGGCACCTGTAGCCTGAACAAGCAGAGAGAAAGGGAAGGTAGTTACTTCAGATAAGTATAAGATGTTGAATTCAGCCTCAAAAGAGACGAACTGGATCAAGTACATGTTCTTGTTAACAGTCTCCAGACTGGGCCAAAGTACTCCTTGGTCTATTTTGGCCTTGTGATATGGTCTCTGTTGGATTTCTTATATACTGGAGAGATTGTTCTGCAGTATTTTAAAAAATAATAATAATTGGGCTCTTGGCATTTATCTCCGAGAATTCCGAGGAACTTTTTGAATTCTTGAAAAACAGTCAATTCTGCTTCTTTCTAGAGCCCTTAAAGGGGTTATCATTACAAGACATAGTGTTTTGATTTTATCTAATCTGCAGTTCTTGAGGAACAGAAGGATGTACTTATAGTTTTAGATTCATAACAATACAGTCACCAGAGCATAAATACTGGACCATTTCAATAGCTAAAGAATACCGTTTATCTGGGGGGTTTTTTTTCCTAAAAACACACAGCTAGGAAGCAAAAAACCAGACTTATGGCTAGCTTATTACAACTACATTTTTAATCATGCCTTGCAAATTGAGTATTTTTGCTGTAAAAACATCTACTACAAACTGGGAAATACTCACTGGTATATTGTACACAACAGTAAACATATGTATTACTTTAACTTGTACAAGACCATTAATCACAGCAGAGTCAAATTACTGAAGGAAAAAAAAGTCAACATCTGGATTTCTCCAAAAAGCCAAACACTATGAAAAATGTTGACTGATTACAATAATACATGTTATTTAAGAAGGTTCATTATAAAGAGTTCTGTTACTCTTAACTCCTAGTATTCACGTTTAAATGTTTTCACCACCAAATTGCCAGTGCTTCAGGAAATTGTTACTGGGAAAAAGGTTGGCATAAACATTCCATTTGGCTGGAGGGCAGGGAAAAATACTTACCTGTTACAGTGACTTTCTCCCAAGTAAGAAAATCCACTGTTACATGATACCTAAAAAGCATCAAGAGAATTATTCGATTCTAACAAAACATGGGGGCAATGCCATGAGACACAACTGCCTGGCAACATGGTAATACCAACCAAGTAACTACTGTCATCTCTTCAGGGGCCAAGGGAGATGCTGTTGCTAATTTCATTTCCTATTCACTTACCATTTCTGTCCTAAATAGATGAATCCACTCTTTGAAATTCAACAATAAATCCCTCAAGACCTTCCCTGTCACCAATAAGTTGGCATAAGCTATAATATAAACACAGCAATAAGTTTTCCTGCACATATTCAAGTTCATCCCTTCTTGCACTCATTCAGAGTTGGGATGCCCGAGTCCTCAAGCAGTTATATTCACTCCATAGCTATACTACTGTGTCTTAAAAAAATTAAGCTGCCCACATAATCCCTGCTCAAAAGTTCCCATCATAGTTTTTGCCCTTGACAATGTGGCAGCTGCTTGCCACCTCTGAAAGAAGGAACAGTCACCAAGCTGCCAGCAAGAGAACACTGAGTTAATTCATGTTGTGATTTTACCAATTCTGTCAATAAGCTTTAATAATCAGCCTTCATAATCTTAAAATGTTTATCTGCTAGAAGGTACCTAGTTTTAACCTATCAATATTATTCACATTGCAAGATCACCTAGAAATCACACTAGAAAGTCACTTCTATTGTTCCAGCCAGCTTAATTCGCTGCAAGTAGAGTAAGCAAATAACAGTAACAAATAACAGACCCTGTCCAAACAGGGTCTAAATCTTAAAATGGAACAAAAACAACAACAAAACCCCCTCAAAGATAATAAAACTTAGAGAAAATGGCATAGTTCCACATTGGCCTGCGGCAAGTGGGACAGTGCAGGATCAGAAGAAGGATACTTTCTGCTGAGATGGTTCAGAGAATTGCCACAATCCCATTAGCAGTTACTCATATAGGTGTACAGGCCCAAGAAGTAAAGGTTCTGGTCAACAAAGCAGGAGTACACAAATTACAAGACTGCAGGGCTTTCTTTCACAATTTTTACTGTTCATCTCTCATCCTTCTAACATGCTACTCTCTGCAGCAACACAGTATTTCTCCTAAATCAAGAAGGCAAGCGACTTGAGCAGTGCTCCAGATACTGACTGACAAGAAGCACCACATCCAGCACAGAGTAATGGAATCATCATAGAACCATCATAGAATCATAGAATGGTTTGAGTTGGAAGGGACCTTAAGGATCATTTAGTTCTACCCCCCCTGACATGGGCAGGGATGTCTCCCACTAGAGCAGGTTGCTCAAAGCCCCATCCAGCCTGGCCTTGAACACTTTCAGGGATGAGGCATCCATATCTCCTCTGGGTAACCTGTTCCAGTGTCTCACCACCCTTGTTCCTAATGTCTAATCTAAATCTACACCCTTCTCTAGTTTAAAACCATTGCCCCTTGTCCTATCACGATATGCCCTTCTAAAAAGTCCCTCCCCATCTTTCCTGCAGGTCCCCTTCAGGTATCGGAAGGCTGCTCTGAGGTCTCCCTGGAGCCTTCTCTTTTCCAGGTTGAACAGACCCAACTGCCTCAGTCCATCCTGCACAGCACATTGGTAGGACAGACACGGAGACACGCAGTTGGTGATTTAGAAGAAACACAGGAGAAGGCATGGAGATAAGAAAATCCATCCTGCTTATGGCAGTACCTCTGTTCTGTGAGAAACAGGACAAAGAGATCCAGGCATCACGGAATGGCAGAAATGACAGACGGGGCCTGAATACCTCGCTTACTGTAGGAAAAAATGAATTAACCCATCCCTCCCACATCCAAAAAAGCCCTAAGTGAAAGTAAATCAAGCAAGGACCAAAAATACACTTCATGAAAAAAGGCTTCCTGGCAGCATCTAAATTTGAAATTGCTCTTGGGGATAACACCTTGGCTCCCAGCCTCAATCTAGGCTTTGATACTTCTAAACAAACATGCATTTGGCATCTGTTTATCCTCTTTTCATTCAATTCTGAAATAGCTGTAATGCCAGTATCCAGACCTAATATACAGGCTTTACTACTTTCAGTCTCCACCTCTGTTCCTCATTTCTAAATTTTCCATTACATGTTAAAATGCACTTTCATAAATAGTCTGGCAAACAGAAGACAGAAGGAGTAACTTTCAAATGAACACATCTGCAAGGCAGCAGAACTAAGGAGAGTATAGATCATATTCTGGTTTTCAGATAATCAACAGATTATGGACTGCAATATTCTTTGATGATACCGAACAAAACTATTTTGAAAGCACATTATTTTTCATAAAAAAATACAGCATAAACATCCATTTGTTGGGCATCAAGAAATACACTAGTATTGTTTGAATAGTATCCGAATTCAAAGTACTTTATTTTTGAGAAAACATTTTAGACAGGTAATGTTGGCTTCTTTAGAAGAAAATGGAGCACATAAAAATGGAAACAAGCAACTACACTGACAGCAGAATTGTCCTCTGCACATGATCCAATACAGTTAGTCGGCATTACTGCATTCTTCAGACTTTCTGAAGTGTCACAATTGGCAGTGCTTGCACACTTCTCATACTGCTGAGATGTGACCACTTAGATTTTGTTTGAAACGGTGGAATCAGTCATGCTTCCAAGTGCCTGTCTCAGCCACTTCCTAGTCCCAGCCTCAAGGACCCAAAGTCATACCATCCCTTCCCACCTGCTAGCCTAGATTTCTACAGAAAGCAATCACAGAAGCAGAGATCAAAAAGAAACCACGGCGTTATCTAAACAGAACACAACTCCAGCTTGTGAGGCGGCACACGTTCAGGGTCAGGCTAGATACTGCTGATGACTCCTCTGTGGGTAAAGAGTTACTGGATAACTACGGGGAAGAATAAATAGCCTATACCTCTAAACATGTGTTTGCCAAAAAAAACCCCAAAACAGAATGATATTACAAATTACAGCTCTCTTGTACAAACTGCGTGTCTCTCTTCTGTGCTATCTTAGCTAAGCAGTTTTATTAACACAGCTCTACAGCTTAAGCAGCCAAGCTTTGTGTCTGACATCACTGAAAGCTGCTGCCCCTCCTGCCGAGGCTGCAGCTCAGTGTCGGGAGGGTGGGCAGGGAGATGGGTCTGTCCCGTCTGCAGCTCCCTGTCTAGCACTGCTGTCTCAGCCTGCAGCACCAGAACTCTCATCCCAGCCAGCAGGCAAAGCTCACTGCAGGCATTAAGCTCACCAAGAACAGTGTTACAATTCTTAAAACACTATGGTAAAAGACAGGGTGTATCTGTCATCCTTTTACTTTATGGCTGGACTCTTCTCCATTTTCTCTCTATGCCTCGACTAGCCTTTTTCACAGCAGATGAGCACTTTAAGTGAAAGCTTTCAGGGTTGGAAAAAATCACCAGATAAAATAAGTAACTGTGTTACCAACCAGAAAATTAAAGAACTCATTACAGTAATGTGACACCATATATGATAAATAAGTAATGTACTAAGACATCTAAAAATACATTTTTTAAAAAATCATTATTTCTACTTATCTTACTTAAAAAGCAGTGTGAGAATTACAGACTTTACTGCTCAAGTGTTATAAATAGTTATATTCAAAGTAGATTACTCTTTCATCTCATACAAGTCACCCTCATGCTAGGAAAATTACCAATAAAAAAAAAATATGTACACTTACATTCAAGTCAAATATACAGAATGACCAGTTCGTATCATCACTGACAGTCTGGCACATGTTGCCACCAAAGACATTTGATTTTGGTTGATCTCAGAATATTCACAGTAGACTTGAGAATGCAGGAAGTTCTTTACAACAAATATTATACAAAAATTGGATCACTAACAAAAAATGAAAACATTCTGAAAGAATGACAAAGCACAGGGGAAAAGAACTATTGTGCAGCCAACAGTTTCAAAACCAAACACCCACTCGTAACTGGCAATGTTTAAGGCACAGAGAACAAAACTGCCTGCCCAGAAACGTGAGTCACGGGGAGAAAAGAGAGAAATGCTTACCTATGAATAGAAAAAGAAGCAATGGATCTAATGAGCGATGCCACTGCTCCGACTTTAGCAGCTTCCACTGCTCCCTGCGACCTGTATCGCACGGTTTCACCGTAACTGATGAAAGGTTCGTTGTAGACAACAATCTTCCCCTTGGCCTCCTGAGCTCTTCTGTGCAGTTCATCAAAGGAAGCTACCACTATGACTTCTGCCGTAATTCCTGGAAGAGAGTATTACAGTGGCTTTAACGTTGCTTTCCTATAGCCAGTTTTAACACACAGAAAAGCAGGGACTGTGTAGAATATAGAAAATCAGATTTAACTTCTTACTGGAAATAGAAGACTATGTGAAATGCTTCATCAGGGTACTAAACAGCTGTAACAGCATCCTGAACCAAGCACACATGGTTCTGTAAACCAGGCTATCAGGTTAGAACTAAAACACAACTTGGAGGGCAAGAAGCATACATAGAGGGGAATTCTGTGCTCTGCATGTGCTTTAATGCCTCACTGCAATCATTTATAGTACAAAAACATTTGCAAAAGCCTATGGGATTAATAAAAAAAAAGATAGTAATCTTTTCATGGAATTGTTTTGATATGTTGCTTGACAACTCAGCTTAACATAAAACAACTGGAAGCACATAGTTTTAGATTGAAACGCTTATAAAATTATTTAATCCATAAATGAAATTAAATTAATGCTCTGGTGTTTCAACAAATTTTGTATTATGCTTATTTAAAAAAAAAAAATCTTCATATTTAATTTGGGAAAATACCACAGTTCTACTGGATCTCCATCTGGGAGTTTTCCCAGGAACCCATCTTTCCCAGTTATGACACAGTGAACAGAGACAGGTACTTCTGCAGAATTATTCACACATGGTAAGTTAGATCTCATCCAGCTCTGTTTCTAATAGTTTGAATAGTTTTAAATTGCTGTATTAACTTGCATGAAAAAACAATGAATTTTACAAAAAAGTAGTTTTTCCTAAATCCAGAGAATCCTTCTAACTTTTTAGAACATTAATTGAGGAACTATATTTCACAGCATTTAAGAAGTAATTAATTAAAAAGACCAGTGTGTTGAAAATCCAGTTTTGTTGACCAGTTACAGAGATTAAGTAGAAACTGCCTAACAATGTGGGCTGGTACTTTTCTTACCGAAGTAATTACTTTCTTACAGAAGTAATGGATGTCTGAACTTTCAGTGTTGTACATTTCATCTAAAAGCCATAAAACGAGTCAGTGAAAACTAAAACTAATAACAAATGTCTCACAAGAATTTGTCAAAGAAGTCAAACTATCATGTTTTTAAGAAGAAAATGTTTCTCCTTGAATGTCCTCTTTCTTATCTTTTTTACTTTTTCATGGTATAAGAATTATTTAGAGATTTCAAAGGCTTGTATTTGAGACTGCAATACATGAGAAGAACTGACAGAAAAATAGAAATATCATCTCTCCCAGCACCAGCATATCCAGGCTCATGACTTCTTTAAGATCAAACCAGAGTAGGTTTCAAATCGTAAAAAAAAGTATTTCACATAAAAAAAGTTTGATTTCTTAAAAGTGCACCTCTAAGAGGGCAAGGGACATATACTGCTACAGCAAAAGCCCATGAGTTTTAGCTACTGAATCTACCTAGTGAAAGGTGTGAAATTTTTAACTGAATAACTATTCAGATTCTTAGCTTTACAGAAGGAGGCATGGAAAGCCAAACTGGAGAATCACCTTCAAATTTTACTAGCTGTTGTTGGCAGGTAAGTGAGCATGCTAAGAGACTCCAGCTGCTTCTAATGAACTGCACGTTCAGCTGCCTACCTAAGGAGCATCCCAACGACAGGATCATTCTGGGTATGGAACAGTGCCACTGGAAGTAAAGCCAGGTATCTGCAAAATTTCATTTTCCACAAGAAAAGTCACGGTCTCAGACGGTTGGTACCGCAATCCACGTTTCATATTAGCTCTCCCCAATGCTCCACTTGGATCATGCAGCAGACACTTGAAGGGCACACGTTGTATTAGGGACTGTTCAGCAAAGGAAGCAAGGAGTGGAGCTCTTCTTGGCATTACTTTACTGCATTAATGAACAAATACCAACCCTGGATGCTTTTCTAAGAATGCTACAGACAGCTTGTAACTCTCTATAATCCCTAAGAAATCTCATGCAGAAGTACATTTATGGCCCTCCCTAGGCAACAGGCATCAGGAGTTTGTGTAGTGAGCTTTGTGAGAATTAAAGCTAAGGGAAAGAATACAGAGCTGCAAACTCCAGCCCAGTATCTCTACTTCTGAATGTTTCCAAAGAAGCTAAATAAAGCCATTCTTTGACAAAACAAAACAAACGTTCTCTCTGCAAGTTTAACTTAATGGCAGCACAGTATACGTAAAGCATCAATTATGGTGCTTTCTGTAACAAACTGAAACTTCACTCTTGCATAACTTCTGACTAGTTCAACAACTCATCTGCATTAGTCTCATTTTATATCACAGAATGTCAGGAGTTGGAAGGCACCTCTAGAGATCATCTAGTCCAACCTCCCTGCCAGAGAAGGATCACCTAGAGTAGGTCACATAGGAACATGTCCCATGTGAAGAAAGAAATGAAACAGTTTCCCAGTTTAAACTGGGAAAACCCAACCGTTTATGGGGAATGAGTTATTTCTTTTAAAAATGGGAAACACCTCACCTTACTGAGTTTCTAAACAAATTAACAAAACTCTACCCCTAGCATCAATTCGGTAAATATATTCTTGAAAGCCAAGTAAGATTAGGGACCAGGAGCTATATCCTATTTAGGTCCAGCATCCTCTAAAATCATCGCAGAAAACATTTTTCCCTCAGCTTCTATCTTATCTCTTTAAAAAATATGTTGCTTTTCAGCTTTCTCTAGGAATTAGCTCTGCTTTCCACCAATGTCCCACCTAATTAAACAAATATTTCAGAAAAACAAATCCAAATTCTGAGTCCATAATGAACTTGTCAAATTAAGACTTGGCGCCAGGCTGAAGCAAATGAAACACTCATATCATCACTGTTTTTTTCTCCCTCAAAAATTATTAACATGTACTGAAAATTTAAAATACTCTAACACCTAGAAACATATTTGCTTTATCAACACATATCAATATGTATTGATGTAAGAATTACAACATGAAGAAAAGATTCAATATTGTAGGGGAACTATGAAACAAAGAAGAGGGCTTTTATCAGGAAGAAAGATTTTGTAAAATCTGAATACAGTCCTGGAAAATGTGACCTCACCTACTCTGTGGACTAGCAAAAATAATTACTTCATGAAACTAGAATTACATAGGAGAGTTATCCAAAAGGATATGAGGCGATTCAGCTCTGATGCATAGCACAGAGCCTAAATGCATTACTCCATTCTTTAAGAAGAACACAGAGAAAAATAAACACTATGATATAGTTACACTTTCCACAAATATGGCTTACCATTTCCAGCAAGTACTGGATCTCGTTAGAAGAGTTTGGTTTCAGTAACGTGCAGCTTACTGTGCAGCACTAAATCCAAGGGAGTTGGACCCAACATGAAGCCATGGGTGCCAGAAGAGCCGGGCAACAGGCTTGACTCTCCTAGGAGAAGCCCTGCACAGGGCTCAGGCTTGCTACGCCGCGTCTGGGGAGAAAAGCCAGTTTTTGGAGCGCACAGGTGCCCAAGGCAAGAAGTACAGAGGGCACCCATTCCCTCCTTAGCAAGTCACTGCAGGCTATCCCCCCTGGCAGGGAAGGTGTCAGTGGCACCCAGCTGTGCGTGCATTCCCCACATGTAAAGAAAATCACGTTCGAATCCTGCCTCTGCTAGTGTGAGGCAGGAGCTTCAGGCTAGGCTTACCATCCTTGAGGTAACCACTCTGAAGTCAGTAACACGGAACAGGGCCAAAAGAGCTGAAAATTCATTTTTTTGCTGTTGCAAATCTGTCCAGTTCACCTGAACTTTCATTAAAGCAGAGACTGGAATCCACATCCTTCCCAGACAGCATGTCCACCTCAAAGCCACACAGCTACTCCTACTCTCTAAATCTTTGAAATGCCACTGGACTACCTTCTGGCCTGGACACTGGGCCACCGAACACCACAGCATCTGAGGTCCTTCATGGACATCACCTTCTACATTCCAAGAAAAACCAGTAGCATAATTATGATACCACAAGCAGCACCACTCTACATAATGATAAACAATCCAGGAACCCAACACCGAGGCTCATGGTCTCAAGATGTGAATCAGTAGTTCCTCGCACACAGAAAAAGAGAGAACCAGTGAAGACAGGAGGGCTTTGCCATGCACCATGCTCTCATGACTATGACTCTCTCCAATCCTCGTTCTCATCCCTGAAACCCTCATTAAAGGGGGTACTCAAGTCGTTCCAGAAGGATCTTCTTCTCTCCCTGTGGGTCAGAGGTCATCCAAAACGCTGGCAAGTCAACATCCTCTGATACACGTTAAAATTCACTTTCTTCTTGGCATTTTGTTAATCCGGCTGAATTCCCTAACCCACTTCTCCACTGAGAAACAAAAAAGATGGCTCATCACTGGGGAAAAACACATCAGCCAGGACTGAGGCCAGACCACTTCTTCCAGCAGCGTCCCTGGCTCTAAAAGACTGTCAGCCTATGGCAACAGTACACACCTTTAACAGCTCTGAGACACATATTATCCTCATTTTATAAATAACAGACTGGAACTATTTTCATATTAGTTAAGTAGCAGAACTCTTACCACCTTCTACAAAAGTAAAAATGGACCAAACGTTGATAGCTAACAAAAAAAACCCCACAACTTGATCACAAAAACTATTAAAAAGTCTGCCGCTACGTCATCTTCATATTTATATTATTTCAGTTTCACTGCAACAAACAGTACATAGAAACCACAGACTGTTCCTTTTTTGAGGAGACATTCTGGGTAGGCTGCATTCTGGGGTTGGTTCTACTTGTCAGTATTTCTTTAAAATGACAGGGCAGGGTCACCCCTCAGGAAAAAAAAAGTGCATTTTAAAACATACGCAGAAAATATGAGTTCTTTGATACTTTACGGTCAAACATCTGCTAAACTACTACTTTCCTTCAATTATGGGATTCTCAAAGCAACAATTATATCTATTTTCCTCAGAATTTGGATGGTAGTACCAGAAATAAGACTGTCTCTCTACATATATCTGTATGTTTTGCCAGTGTTGAAACACTGGAAATGGGACAAGGACATTGACTAAATATGGTAAACCTCCAGCTTGAAAGCACTCCCTAAACTGAGTGCTTTTTAACATTCAATGCTGTTTGTTACCCAGGAACCCACTTCTTCGAGATGGGGACCATTTTCCATCTCTGCTGACTACTGGAAATCGAGGTCAGTCTGCATTTCACATTTCTCTGCTCTCTGTTGCTAAGACAGGCATGAAAGTTACTCCCCGCTTATAGGGAGATCAAAGTGAAACTTTCTCTTTGACCCAACACCTTCAAATCATGGGATACACTGAAAGGGGAAATAATTTTTTTTCCTCTTCAATAAAAAAATCTAACCTTTTCTGTACTGCCCCTTTTTGCTGTGTAAATCACACTGAACTTGGAAACTTGACATCCTGGCATGCTGCCCAGTCCTAAAGAAAAAAAAAACAAACACTAAAATGTGGATTTTATCCACAAGATCACAAGGTACCAAAAAGCCTCTTGTACATCATCAGAATTGTTTCAACCTTAAGTGAGCGAACCAGCAATATGCCAAAGTCATCTCTGAGCCAAAGTGGGCAAATGTCGGCAAATTCAAAAAATGAGCAAAGTTCCAAGCCCATCGGCGTAGGTTAGATAGAAGACCTGCAGGAAGAGACAGTCCAGTCAATGCTGGCTTGGGCTTCACAGCAAAAATACTGCTACTTTTTAGTTCTTCCTGTTCCTACATCAAGAATTGTGGATATTTTTTTCCACACTCATCCAGTGTATGACAAAATGGAAAGTGAGAAGCCTCAGCATGTGCTCTGGCCACTGGGTCACTCTTAGGAAACACTGGTTTGAATTTCCATGGACAGTGAGGAAAATAAACCCTGAATTTCCAACATCCAAAGCCAGGTTTTCTTCAGCTATTACCACGTTAATAAAGAGCCTGTGAGAGCATTAGCTTGGGGAGCTGAGCTCCAGGAGGAGGTTCTGAGGGCACCACGGGCCACCAAGTCTAGCATGAAGCATTAAGCACATCCAGAGAGATGTCTGAAGTTTCTGCCAATGCTTCTTATTTTCTTAGCCCACTGATCTCAAGCCTGGGGGCACATAATGGAAAAGGAAGAATCCAGGACATAACGGAGAGGATAAGAAAGCAAGAAGGTCTCCTGTACCTCCTGCTGGGATGGAAGGGTCACTCCCTCTTGTTTTAACTCCATCCTCAGATCTTAAAAGACAAAAAGTCCAGCCAGTGCTGTCCTCTGGCTCTAAGTAGGTTTCAGTAATGTCAAGGAAGGAATCTGCTGGGGCTCTGCATAGACAGTGGTTTATAAACTGTGAGTACAAAATATATCCTGACAAGAACACTGATTTAAAACATGTAATAACCCACCTGGAGTACTGCATCCAACTCTGAAGCCCCCAACACAAGAATGACATGGACCTATTGGACAGAGTCCAGAGGAGGGCCAAAAAGATGATCAGAGGGTTGGAGCACCAAGGACAGGCTGAGGGATTTGAGTCTGTTCAGCCTGGAGGAGACCTGTTCAGCCTTCCAGTACCTGAAGGGGGCTACAGAAAAGCTGGGGAGGGCCTTCTTGCAAGGGCATGTAGCAACAGGACCAGGGGCAATGGTTTTAAACTACAGCAGGGTAGATTTAGATTAGATATTAGGAAGAATTTCTTTACTATGAGAGTGGTGAGACACTGGAACAGTTTGCCCAGAGAAGTTGTGGATGCCTCATTCCTGAAAGTGTTCAAGACCAGGCTGGATGAGGCTTTGAGCAACCTGATCTAGCAGAAGGTGTCCCTGCCCATGGCAGGGGGGTTGGAACTAGATGATCTTTGAGGTCCCTTCCAACTCAAGCCATTCTATGATTCTATGATTAACTATCAAGCTAACAGCAAACACCTTCAGGGATCACTGGCACAGTCCACTTTAGAGGCAGCTTTGAAAGGTGTCTCTATCCCTGGGCAGAGCCCAGGCACCAATGGTCACACCATGGGGAAAAAATCCAGCGCGCAGTCTTTAACACATCCCTCTGGCAAAGCTGGGCACAGAATTGGTAGATCTCCCTAGTTGAATCCCATGCAGCAACAGCAGCACAATGTCAGGAGAACCAGCATCAAAAATCTCAATTTACTGAGTTGCATTATTTTGCTTACAGGATGACTCACACTCCCACAGCTTCTTGGCTGAAAAAAGGCAAGGCAGAACTGCCAATATGCCTTCGCTGAAGGAAATTGTTCAGATATGATTTAGGTGCCTACTCCTTTTTCTCAAGAACAGGGCACGGTGACAGTTGCTGGTTAGAGCACAGGGAGCAGATGCTCTGGGAACGAAATCCTCAGAGGTGATGAGGCGGTGGTTTTAGCAGCCTAATCATATGGGTTTTATTCTGTCCTTGGGTTGAGTGTGAGTTTTAGGGCAGGCAGTTTTCTGAGCAGTAACACCTTGCAACTCTCTTGCCCGGAGAGGCTGGTGACGAGCAGCTCTCGCCAGGCATATCCGTTTGCCAGAAGGCCAGTCCAGCGATAGCCAAGAGCTCACCAGGCATCGGCTACCCCACGTAACCTCCTCAAGCACAAAAACCTGTTACAGCTTGCACAGAACAAGATGAGATCAGGAGAAACCGTAACAGCCACAAATGGTAGGATATTTAAGTCAGAAGATTAGTAATTTAATCAAAATTATTCCACCAAGTGTGAGAAACTGCCCGCTCTTCTGTGAGAGATCTCATTGCTATGCAGTCTTCTAGCACCAACACATACACCACCCCAGAAACCCAGCAGATCTTGGAGGAAAGTAAAAAGGTGAGGAAGAATAACGTGGGGTTTTTGAACATTACTCAGTATAAACCAGCACGGGATAATACAACCTCCCAAGACATCAGTCGTCACAGGTACTAGTCCCGCCATTCAGTCATCAGTACAATAAGATCTTTACAGATGAAAAAGGTCACAATTAGCCTCTCTGAGAATTTTTCAACATGTAAATTCAGCATCTCTCTAAATGAAAGAAGGCAAACCTAGGAGTAAGATCAGGCAAGTGCAAATAACTACACAACTGAGAAAGGTAAGCAAAAAACAGACTTCCTCAGGATGCGAAGATGTTTGCCAAGATGAAATTGCAGATTCTATTTCCAGGTTCAGTAACACTTGCTCAACACCAAAAATGCCATTTTAATTTCAGCTTTCTTTTTAGGAAACTAGGAAGAGGACTGGAAAGAATACAAACGAAGTTGTAGGTTTAACCTTTGCTGTAAACATTCTCCCATCAAAGGAGCAATTAGACATATCATGGGATAAAGAGACATTTTTTGATACAATGCTTTTAGCTGCTTTGCATTTTAGGCATGTATTTACCTCAATATGACAGAAATACCACAGACAAAATATACATTAACAATTTTCCAGATCAAGTAAGATTTATTCCAAACACAAATTACCCAGTTTTGTTGCGTTTTGAAGGGCTACATAATTTTTCTATGCAAAACATCTTTTATACATTATTTGTTTCATTTCAAACAGAAAGCTCACTATCACAAAAATTTACAGTTTGTAAAAAAAAATTTGAGTATCACCCTACCTTTTATTTCCTAAACTAAATTTATGTACTCATAAAGGAATAAGAATGCTTTTGAAGCACTCTAGGAATAAGTTTGTTATTTATGGAGAGCAGTCACAGAAGGAGATTGTCATGCAGCCTTTAAATAACAATCCTGAGAAAGCCCCACATCAATATGTACAGAAAGAGGATGCCATAAGTCATTATGGTTGAAAGCATTATGGTTGAGGCTCAAAACACCTGAATTTTGCTGAGCCCAGCTAGTGATCATTCTTGTTCCCAAAGTAACGTATCACACATCATCCACTAAAAGGCAACACACAGCTCAGTAACAGTAAGTGCCAAAGAATTCTCCATGAGGCAGGGGGAAGGAAAGGACACACGGATACCAACTGCCAAGCTTAGTAAGGGGCTGGCACTTTCCAAGCTCAGCAGGAGATTCTCCTCCGGTTCCTGCTATCCTGTTTTTTGCCCCAGTGAAGTGCTGAGCTTGGCAGGAAAGGGCATGGCAAAACGAGCAGAAATCATGTGTCAACATCCCACAGAGAACTTATCATAGAATCATAGAATGGCCTAGGCTGGAAGGGACCGTAGAGATCATTTAATCCAACCTCCCTGTCCTGGGCAGGGACGCCTCTCAACTAGATCAGGCAAAACATGGGGACCGAGCAGTGCTAAAGAAAGGCGTAGATTTAACGAAGACTTCAGGAATCAACTCTATAATGTTACAAGCCGGTTCAACCAAACTGAGTTAAACTGAATTGTGCCATTCACAACCACGTCATACAGAAAAGTCCCAGAAAAAATAGCATCTTGTCTTGCAGAACTATTACATAGCAGGATAAAAACTTCAGTTTGACCACTGAAATAAGTAGTTGTTTGGGGTATAATTACAGTTTGGTATTAAAAAAAACAAGTGACACTTAATTCCAAAAGGAAGAATTACCTTCTGGAGGAGTTGCAACACTGCTCCCAAGTCCCAAAATAGCAATGCTGTGATTCCTTGGTTGGAGCATCGTTGCAAACTCTTCTCCTCTTTCCCAGTGTGGTACTTTCACAGGTTCCAGACGCACATTTTCCAGACCATCTTTCTGCAGGGCACTGAACATGTACTTGATGGCTGCATCTAGGTTTTTTGAACCGCTGAGTCTAGGTCCTGTAGTATCAGCAAACACTGCTAATCTTTCATAGGATCTGTTCTGAGCTTTTCCATGAACAGCAAGATCAATAATAGCTTTGGCAACATCAGTATAGCCAGCTATCTCATTTTTAATGTCTTCAAATGTTTTTGGATAACTGTGATCTCTTCTCAAAGACTTCCCAGCATAATGTGGTAATAAATTCATGAAAAATATTAAGAATGCATACTTCATTTTTCCTCTTTTTTCTTTTCCACAGATGGCCTTCTGGAGAGACAAAAAAAAAAGAAAAAAAAAGAATATTAAAAAAATACATAATCAGCAATATTTTCTGTTATTTGGATTGGGCAGACAGACCAAAATGAAAAGAAATCAGTTTATCATGAAAATGCTTTGATCAGAACTGACAGGAAAGTAAACTCGGAGACACAATTATTGAAAGCAAATGAAAAAGATACTTAGACCACTGTACACAATCTTTGTTGTGGTCTTGAGAAACATCCCTGGAATGCTGCATCTCTTTAAATAATCCTTCACTGAATCAAAACCCAGGGCTGTTCCTATCCAGGAGGAGCTTTGCATCTCCTTTCTGTTAGGAGCATAATTTGCCAGGAGTGCCAAATCAAATGTCTTCACATAGAACATCTGGACAAAAACATTTCTTAAACCATTCATGAATAAAAGTGCTTCTTAATCTCTATCTTCATAATCAGGAAAGCACTTTCTATTGCACTGGAAAGATGTCAGAGCAATTTAGATCCAATGCCCCCAGGAAGAAAGTAAGAATTTCTTCCTTACATAAATCCAGGACTACCAGAGAAACACAATTTCATATTAACTGGTGTCTCTCTTAAGGACTGACTTCAGCAGTACTCTGGAGAGGTGAAGCACCAGGGAAGCTGATCCTGTGCTGAATATCCAGAGTTATCTTTGCTAAAAATTAATAGTTTATCCACCTTATCGCTAAAGTTTTTATTTTTAAGAGCTTACAAATTTCAGTCCCATAAAAGCGACAGTTTGTCTATACTATTAATTGAACTGACAACAAAAAAAACAACTCTGGAATCAGTTGGAGCAGCTGCAAAGCTCTTTTATAACATGCAAATTATGATTATCCAAACCCAAAATATAAAGGGCTTTATTGATATACACAAAAGGAAATGTAATTGTTTCATTTTCTTTTGAATTTAAATCAGGCTGCAATATGAATGGCAAAAATTAGCAATAAGAAATGCAGCCTTTAAATCAGCTCTAGAGCTGCTGATATTATGAGACTTAAAAAAATAGTAACTGGCTACAGGCAAGTGAAGGGGCCATTGCTACTAGCCCAAAAAGATTTTTATTCAGCACTTCTGCCATTTTCATGGACCTTCATGGAAATATCAGTATTTTTTGAAAAGGGATGTTATTTGCCTCAAAAAATAGTAACCTAAAGGCAAACATTAGCCTCTACTCTGTAAAATATGTTCTTCTTGGAGACAATTGTTCTATAAATAGAAAAGGACTGATTAGTTGCCTAATACTGATAAAACATAAGTAAATCAGACCTGTATGGCAGAAATATTAGTAAATGCTTTTGCTGTTGAGATTTCAACATTATTCTTCTTCCCTGTTTGTATTTATTTAGTACTTCTGGAGCATTATACTCTTAATTTTACCACTGACCCGAGGAATCATGGCAATATACTTACCTTGTATTTTTGGTTCACTATGTTATATGCATATGGAGAGACAGTACAAAGGATGATATGAGTGTATGTGTGTATGTATATAAACACGTATTTGCATACATTATATTCACATGATATTCACATGCAAAATAGAAAAAAAAAATTCAGACAATTGCACACTACAGGAACTTTAACTGAGCATCAATTCTCAGTCATTTTATAGAGTAGGCAAATTTTACAATAGCCAGATAGCTTTGTAAATCATAATGCCAGAAGGAACCAGAGTATTTACCTTGTCTGACCACCAAAGGACACTGATTGCAGGATATTCCTGATTTAGCTCCCACCACCAGAAGCCACAAAGCAAACCAGCAGTCAAGTCGATTCCTGAGAGTAAAGGTGAAGTTACACCACTTCCGTGCCTCTGGAAACAGAAGCCAAGACTATATTTGAAGCTTCTGAGAGCTCCATTCTGAATGATCTAAGAAACCCACTTATATTTGATACAATGAACCACAAATAGATGAAATAGTTTTTTCAGGATATTCATTCTGGATCATTTTCTAGCATTTCTTCCAAAGAAGCTTCACCTTAACAGTGGCAGAGCACGCGAGGAAAGGCTGAATTGCTGCCCTCAGTAAAGAGCCGAGTTGGTATGAAGACTGTGAATGCTCACCCTTCCTATATATTACTATAAGAAAGCACTTGTAACTTTGAAGCGTAAGTTCTGGGAAGTCAGCAAAGCGCATCTCACACAATGACAGAACAGTTCAGGCTGGAAGGGACCTCTAAAACTATGATCTCTAACTCCTCATATTTATTCCCCATATTGTGCATCTTAAGAGTACAGGTATTTGGAAGCACAGACTCATCAACTGAAACAGAAGAGGCGACTCACAACATTTTTGTGAGAGCTGTCTGATCAGCTCCCAAGAAGGTGAAATGACCCATCAGGCACACGTTCACAAGATGCTGTCCGAAATGCCAGCTGCACAATGCAGAACTAAGACAAAGAAAGAGTAAAAGGATTAAAACACATTTCTAGGATCCAAAAACCACCATGAAGGGAAAAAAAACAACCATCAACAAGAACAAAAAAGCAAGCATATAAAAGAACTCACACCACACACACAAACTTTTTGGAGTCACCCAGACTAGCTCATATGATAACCAGCACAAATTGCCAGCTTTTCTTAGGCTTTTGTGGGCCTTTTCACAAACAGCAAATTAAACAATAGCTTTGACAATATAAGAATTTTAAGCTATTCTTATTCCAATGTCCCCTAAACTTGAGATCAAGGCAGTATCAAATTCTTCACAATCAAGTGTCACTCTCCCAGAAGAACAACAAAAAAAATCATCTGTGATTCCATCTAGGAATGACAAACCCATGACATATATCTTCCCTCTCTGAGAGACAGACAGGGCAAAGGTCTTATGCAACCAGGAGCAGAAGACTCAGGTTATGTCAGGACACTAACAGTGAACTGTAAAATGCCATTCATAGTCTGAGTTACTGTTTATTTGTGGTTATACTACATGGAGGGTATTGCTGTATTTTTATTGCTACGCTCTGTACTTTCCCCATGTTCCTTCCCTTTGGACCAGTTAATTACATGCTCATAGACATCCTCTGCTAGAGACATCAGTAATTTTCTCAGGATGACCATGAAAAACTGATTTTTGCCAAGCTCATCATCCACAAAGAAGCAAGCAAGATAATCTGATTTTTGCCATAAACCAAATTCTTGGCGAGTGGAGTAAAACAACTTTGTAGAGTTAGTTTCGAAGACTTAAGGTTTGGGGTTTTGTTTCTTTAAGGGTTTGCAAAACCTTCCAGACAAAGCTGATACATTTAGTTGTGTAGTGGTTTGACCCTGGCCGGCAGCC